GGATGACGTCGACGATGTGTGACCCAATGGTGTTCAAGACTCCGCCTCCCATCACTTCATCACACATCCAGTTGTATTTCTCGTGGAGGAGACTTCCACAGTGTACCCGAACTTCACAGACCAAGATCTCTCCGATTTCGTTGTCTCGAATCATCTCACGCATCTTGATGAAGGCGGGGAGGAATCGTAAGCCGTGGGTCATGAGGGACATGAGTGTCGGGTAGTATTTGGCGGCGTTGACCATCCTAAAAGCGTCAAGTTGACACAACCCAGCCGGTCTCTCACACAGTACATGTTTACCAATCCCCAATGTTTTCACGGCGATTTGAGCATGCAAATGAGGAGGATTCTCGACACACACCACGTCCACATCCTGATGAAGCAAAACGTCGTCTACCTTACTCGTGTAGAACGGTATGTCGAGCTCCTTGGCCACCTTTTCCGCTAGATCGTTGGTTCGGCCCCACAGAGCGGCGACTTTGAAGCCAGCAGACTGAAGAATGCAGACCATGACTTTAGACAGCGATCCTGTACCGAATACGCCCACCCCTGGCAGCATTTCACCTTGTCTGGCATAGCTAGTAAAGCTACAGTTTACCTGCGTTCCTTCACGGGCTGTCAGCGACGAAAGTCGCTCAATAAAGGCTTACAAACGGCGAAGTCTCGGCGTTCTCTCCTTTTTTCTCACCACCGGCGGCCATCTTGCTCCAAAGGTCAACATTGATTAGGGGCGTGGCATCACGACAGTTGTTGTAAACAAAACTGTCAGACAACACATGCCATGCAAATTAGCATGTCTTTTTAGGACAAAAATAGGGTAAGCCATTTTTGAAGAGAGACAATGCACTGCCTTCCTTCAAATGTCGTATTTTCCTACATGTCTCGAAGATGAAATGTAAAACATATTTTACGACAGTTGACATTTTGAGGTAGGAAACCGCATGATTTGGATGGGTACACTTTATCAATCGGGAACGTAAGTATAAATATGATTTGAAAAATAAATAAAGTAAATTACATCGCTTAACATAATGATTTAGCTACATTAGTCCAAAATTTACCTAGATTTTTTCCAGATTTTGGTATTTTTTTGTAGTTGTTCTCGATATTTCCTGCCAGAGTCTTCCCTACCCAACAATGGACTAGTCCGATTATGAAACCAGTCCTGCGGGAGGGTGTATGGCTGCGTCACTGAAAATTCTCTTCAGGAACCTGACATTTTGGCCGCGCTACTCTGCCCAGGTGAAGTTTTAAAACCTCCGAATGGGTAACGAGAGCTCTACCGTGAGTTTAACCTCTCTGTTGTGCATATTTGGGGCCGTGAGGGGCGCCGGTTACGGCTACAAGGCGACTTTGCAGAGCGTGCACCAATGCTCGCCTTACGAAACTTCTGTCAGCTACGATTATGAAAGAAGAGTACGCATGAAATATATAACTTTTTCTCGCTCCTTCTTGTTGCCAGCTGTCGTATTTATCAAATTATAGATCGTTCCTGACCTAAGGTGTGGAAATTCTGTGGTGTCTAAGTCTGGCTTTTCTATTTCAAAGTTTCGTTGTATTGTGTTTTCTTCATGTTTCAACGTGATTTCTAGTGATGCCTACTTGTTTTAGGCTTTGAAATGACATTTATAATTTTATTTTCATTCGAAATGAATGTTGATCGTTACTTATAATATATACGTAGTGCATATAAATCATTGTTTACTATGGGAAATGAAATAGTTTACACGTACATACAAAGAAACAATGGGCTTAGTCACTTCGGCTATTTTTGGCAGGTGTCGGCTTATTTCGTAACGTCCCGCCATACGTCACAACCCTCCTATTTACATAAAAGACTTCCTCAATACAAGGAAGAGTTGTTGAGTCAGTTCTGACTTGCAGTTGTCTACCTAGTGTAAGTTCCGTTTAATCCTAAGCCAAGGAACTTTGTAAGTTTCAACCATAGGGAAAGTTATCTCTAAGTTTAAGGTTTGTGTCATGATTATGTTACATCTCATGTTATGTTTGTTTTGTCTGATCGGTAAGCTGCCTTTACTCCGTACATACAAATTTTGTACAGTAGGTACAAGCTACCAAAGACTGTCTTGTTTTATTCATTACCATACATCCCTATTTTATGTGCTTTGGTGTGAAAAGTTTTGGACTTAAATAATACCTGGTTCAGACTTACATGTTCTGATTTCACTTTCACTTTTCAGTGTATTTTGTACCTACAAGCATAGATACATGTACTTCCTTGTCAGAGGACAGTTAAGAGCTTGACTTCTAACTTCAAATCTAAGCAATAATCTTTATTTTTGTTGTACAAGAGATAGTTCTCACCTAGGACTTTTGACAAATCATTACAGTCCTCTTCAATGTCTTGTGTTGGAAGGAAAGTTTTAAGTTAACTTAAAAGATGTAACTGCCAACACAGATGGACTTTCATGACATATCTTATTTTTGTTGTTGGACAGTTGGCTCCATCCAACATGCCGCGTATAGAACCGGACGTGGTGACGGAGACGGCGACGTTCGCCATGAGCTGATTCTGGTTCCCCGAGGCGCAGTTCGGCTGTGCTGAGGGGGTGATCCGCACCAAGGTTGGCTACACCGGAGGCACCAAGGTCATGCCAACCTACCACGCACTGTGAGTCCTAAACGTACTTAGAGCTGTATACATGAATAGATTTTAGGTACAACTTAGTATACAGGTTTAGGTACAGGTCCTGTTCCTGTACCGGAACCAGGCTGTAGGTGTTAACTAAGCCTGCAGTAATCTGGATTCTAGCATAACCCATAAGGTACCAGCTATATACCCATTTTGGGCCACAAATAAGCATATAATTAGTTAAACTTGATACCAATACAGTACAGTGCTTAATTTTTGCGGTCCAGTACGGGTATGATCTAAACTGTTAACATCCTGTTTCTACTGAACTTCCTGGTGACCACTCTAAGAGCCAGCTTGTCACGCAGGCCTAAAGTTAAACATTAACTTCCTTTTGGCTCCATATGAAGTTACATCATCTTAAGCAAGTCATTGTTTCATGAGAGTAACTGTTGCATCATCCATGTTATTGTTGCTGTGAAACTGACTATTTGAGAACTTTCATCAAAATGAATCATGAAAATATCTACATTGTTGGAGCCAAAATGGTAGTTTTTAGACAGATCTAGACTACACTGTTACTGTCAAAGACATTATTTTTTTAGCTGCCACCTCTAATGTATTAGAGAACATGTCTATTTTTCTCAGACTGCACCCTTCCTACCGCAAACTTAAAGTAATTTACACTATTTGTTGTTTTTGTTATTGTTTACACAGCGGAGACCACACCGAGTCAGTCCAGATCCAGTACGACCCCAAACAGACCTCCTACGCAAACCTTCTCAAGATCTTCTGGCAGAACCACGACCCCTCCGCCTGCGTCTCTCGCCAGTACATGTCCGCCATTTTCTACCACGACGACAACCAGAAGGCCCTGGCAGAGGAAACGATGAAGAAGGAGTCGGAGAACAGGAAGCGTCCCATCCAGACGAAGATCGTTGGAGCCGAGCGTTTTTACGACGCTGAAGAGTATGTGTTTGTGTTTTGTACCATCTATCTCCTAGCCTGTGTTACAGGTATTTTCAGAAGCAGTTTTTTTCTTCAGTAAACTGGATGAAATATTTGTCAACAAGAAAATGGGTGAACAGTTTGAATCTTTTGCTAGGGTTAGTCAGGAAACCAGAAACACAACATTTTTCTTAGACTTAAACCAGGATAAGAAGCATTATATTATCCTTTGATTGAAGGATTTCATCTGACTCGTTTCAGCTACCATCAGAAGTACCTGCTCCGTCAACAGCGAGGGCTCTTCAACAGCCTGGAGCTGTCCCAGAAGGAAGTCATCAATTCTCACATCGCCGCGCGGCTCAACGGTTACGTCGGCGGATACGGCAGCCCGAAAAACTTCGAAAAGGAGCTGCCCAACCTCGGTCTGAGTGTAGAGCAGGCTAACTATATGAACCAGTTGATTGGCCGTGGGCCGATGAGTTAGATGTTACGTAAACAAACCATGAAAGAGGAAATGCATTATTAATGTATCAAAAGGAGTTTAGAAGATGAAGAAATATCAGTCAACATTCATGATCAGTTATGAAAAAAAAATTATTTGCCAGTATTAGTATGCTGCTTTTGTCTCCAGCTTTTACAATGAGCCATAGCAAAGCTGCACTGCACTTCTGAGTATGAGAAAAGCATTACGATTCAAGTTCCATCAGTTTAATTTGAAAGGCATCCAATGCAATTTCAGGGCGGCAAGACAAAAAATAGGAGGAAATTCTGGTAAACCGTATCAACATTTCCTGTCATTATTCAATACTTGAAGCATTAGAAATAGCCCAAATACAGCTATGTGAGAAGTCCCTTCATTTTATGGGCACCACCCATAAATAGCTAGAAACAGGCTATTATACAATACAAACAACTGCCCCCTGAAATTGCATTGGATGCCTTTAACTATGATAATGTGCTGTACATCACCATAATTTTTTCTAGAAGAGCAAAGCATGTTCCTTTGTTGTGGACAATGTTTCCTTCTTACATTGTGTTATTGTCTTCTGCCTTTGAACTTATGGAGCTATTGAATTTCACCATATTGCTGCAATTAATTAAATCTTTGGTGATTGTCCTTAAATTTTACTTTGTTGCAATGGCCACTGAGATGGCTTTTTAATTGTTTTGTGATGGAACAAGGGAGTTTAATGGCCTTGAATGTGAATTGCTTTCTTGGAAGAAACAATATCAGTTACAAGGTTATTGTGGTACCTACAGCGGCTTCTTTACATGTGCAACTTTATGTTGTTTTTGTTTCAACTCTAGGATCTGATTATTTTTACCTTGAGAAAGTGTAAAACAAAGACGTGTGTAACTACATGCTACCCTCTTCTGATCTAACACCAGTAACGTTGTGAACTATTGGGGTCTAGTTCACAGCAAAGTTACTACAAGGCAGAGTCCCTGTCCTGTATTGTTTGATGCCTCTGCTCTACACAGCTGCTCTATTCATGACGTTTTGGGGCGAAAAATGTGCTCCAGAACTGAGACAAGTGCCAAGAAGCAGCGGTGCACAGCAGGGGGGTTATGTAACAGTAGGGGGAGGGGGTCTGCCGAGGGTCAGGCATGTATGTCCAGGAAACAGAAGGTGTTGTGAAATGTGAATAAATTTCTGTATATTGGTACTAGTACTTTGCATCCTGTCTTTTATTTATATGTTTAGATAGATATAAAATAGTCATCCAATTGTTTCGTAGATACTAAAATACATGTATACAGTCCCTTCCCCTAAAATTAAAGGTTGTTCATTCTTCACAACAATGTTGTTGACCTTTTTACCAGAGTCCAAAGTACAAAACAGTGCAGTGTCCTTTTAACACTTGACCCAGTACCACTGCAAGGCACAGGACTGTTCCATTCAGTTAGGGCATGGGGGAGTGTTAGAAAATCTATGGTTTTCTTCTTGGGCCACACCAATTAATCAAATCAACATGGCCTATATTACCCTAAAATGCATTTTTTTTTAAATTTGGGTTCAGTCGCTTCGCTAAAAAGTAAGCGCAATTTTGGTCCTCTGTCAGGAGTATAGCAAGCTCTATATATGACCAAGGAGGTTAGAAGTTTTAGTCTGCTTGATATGACCTAGAAACTGCAGTGCGAGACCAGTTTCAGAAGTTCAAAAGTTCAAGATTTGTTTTAATACGTCACCAGACTGACTTTTTGTCTAGACGTCTGCAAGTAGCAACGCAGGGCTACCGTAGAACACAGCACGACTGAACTAGAAGACACGCTGACAATGGCGGGAGTCGTCAGAAAGATCATCAATGTCGAGGGAAAGAACCCTGCCATCCCGCTCAGCAAAGCTGTTGTAGTCGGCGGCACCATGTACATTTCCGGGCAGCTTGGACTCGATCCAAAGACACCGGGCAAGCTGGTACCAGGCGGTGTCGTGCCTGAAGCGGAGCAAGCACTCAAGAACATGGGCACGATTCTCCAAGCCGCCAACATCGACCACAGCCACGTCGTCAAGGCGACCGTCCTCCTGGCGGACATCAATGACTTCGCCGCCGTCAACGAGGTGTACAAGAAGTACTTCCCGGCCAACCCGCCCGCGAGAGCCGCCTTCCAGGTCGCCGCCCTACCGCTAGGGGGACGGGTGGAGATAGAGGCCATCGCTGTCGTCGGTGATATCGTGGACCACCCAGCATCTAACCTATAAACACTGGACTGACTTAAATGTTCTCTTGATCGTACTCGGTTTGTTTTTAACCGATTCATATACAATGTACCATCAGCGATGATCATAAAACTAGAAAGGTAACATTTGCAAAGCAAATGCATAATGTTTACCTTCGCATATGGTCTACTCAGTTAATTCTTACTCAAACACATTCATATACATGTATATGGTCAAACAGAAGGCTAAATCCCTCCTGCTATAAAATTGCAACATGCATGATGTAACCCAACACTAGTTACCATGGCCACAGCCGTCTGCTTCAGGTCATTGACCTTTTTGGTTTGGAGAAGAAGAGGAAACTGAGCAAAATCAATGTTTTCCTTCGGTCAACATAACATAAAATTAAACTAAATCTACCTTTATCTTCTCAATGTTATCTGCTGTTAATTGAACTATTTAGGGATAAAGGAAGACTGGTGAAAATGTCTAACCCGGTGAGAGTTGCTCAGGCTTGCAAAGCTCGAATAAATATGCAAACTAGAAAGGTAATATTTGCAAAGCAAATGCATCATGTTTACCTTCGGATATGGTATGCTCTGTTAATTCCTCTTCAAACACATTCACATACATGTACATGTATATGCCTAAATGCCTACTATGAAATTGCAACTTTGTATGTAACCCAACACCAGTTACTATGGTGACAGACGTCAACAAATCAGGCCATTGGCCAGGTCAGAGGTTAGTGTTTGGAAAAACAATAACAAGAGCAAAAACAATATGTTTTCCTTCGGTAAACATAATTACGACATCTTTGAACACTTATTTTTTATCCGTTCACACATACAATGTGACACGCATACGCACACAGAGACAGAGATAAATGGTCCTGTCCTTAGTGCTGAACACTTCTACGCAGACAGAGAGAGAGAGCTATAGCCCTGTCCTTAGTACTGAACACTATTCACACGCACGCACACGTGCACACAAACACACGCATACGGTCCACCCAAACTTCTGCTTGAGGATTTACAAAGAAACATCGGTGCGAGACACGCTAGTCACATGGTCCGCCGCGCGAGGTCATAGTGAGGTCAAACTTGTTCACAAGTGGCTGGAGAGTTGTTGCGACGCCAGGAGAAAACACACAACCAAAACCGGACTAAAATCAGCATGGCAGGAGTTGTTAGAAGGATTATCAGCACGGCGAAGGCTCCGGCGGCTATAGGACCGTACAGCCAAGCTGTAGTAGTCGGCGACACCATGTACATCTCCGGGCAGATCGGCATGGACCCCGCGTCGGGCAACCTGGTGTCTGGCGGGGTCGTTCCCGAGACGGAGCAGGCGCTCAAGAACATGGGTTCGATTCTCGAAGCCGCCAGCATCGACTACAGCCACGTGGTCAAGGCGACCGTCCTCCTGGCGGACATCAACGACTTCGCCGCCGTCAACGAGGTGTACAAGAAGTACTTCCCGGCCAACCCGCCCGCGAGAGCCGCCTTCCAGGTCGCCGCCCTGCCCAAGAACGGCCGTGTGGAGATAGAGGCCATCGCCATCGCGAGCGCCATCGTGGAGCGCGCTTGAGTCTGAATCCCGGTCTTCGTTCTAGTGTGCCCGTGGACCAAAAACTACATCAAGACTACAACGTCAATGTCAAAGACTCTCCCATGTTGTGGACTGATCAATACAGGCTAGTGTTACAGTTGTGACCACGCCCCCCACCCCCACCCTTGACCGCTAACGCCATATCGCTGTAGTGTCCCGTGGGACCAAAAACCACCAATGTCAAAGACTCTTTCATGTTGTAGACTGATGCAGAAACATACATACTTGTCTGTAGTTACTGCTACACCATTTCAAGTTGCGCCCTCCCCCTCTTGAGTACTCACCCATGAAAAGACCCTAAAATTTCCATAATTATTGTCTCCGCGCTGAATTAAGCTGGACTGTTTCCAGAGCCTACACAGCCTCGCAGGCCAGTTCCTCCACTCCAGGGCCAGGGCCAACATGCCTCCAAGGGTATTATACCACAGCCCCCCCTCAGTTAGGCCCTGATTCCAGGCACTCTGGCTAAGTCTGCATCTGGGCCTAGCGTATTCTGTGTTTGGCATCCAGGCTACACTGAATTTCGCCGTGTCACAGTTTTTGTTTGGGCCGTAAATTAGGTAATTTGGCCCCACAGGCTGAAGAACAGTCTATTGGAATAGCTAGACACCCTCCCTCTAGATCTATATTTTCCTTGTATTTTTGTGCAATGTCAGAGGGACAACATGGTGTGTTACATTGACTCTATTATAATTGTTGGTAGATACTAGATAGTCAGACAATGCTTTATTACTAAGTCATGCAAAAGCAAGAATCTAATGTTAGTATGGAACTGTAACAGTTGGGAGTTGATCCAAAATAGCAGACATTGACAAACATTTGTTGTATATAGATTTAAGGTAGATATCATCTGGTGCATTATATGGCATGGTGGATATTTTCTGGTCAACCATAATCCAGTTGCATTGCATTGAAATGTGTCCGAAATAAACAAGGTGCAACACAATCTTTATATGCATTGTGTACTAGATCTTAAACCTGAAATTGCATTGTATGCATTTAGGAATGATGCATCCTTAATTCCGTGGCGGGGCAGCACTGCTAGGTTTCTAACATTGGCCTCCATTTTGTTTCACATGTGGGAATATGTCATCTCCAATCTTATCATAAAAAGAATTTTCATAAGCTTAAGCTTGGTGACACTGGATGCTTCTTCTGATTGAATATGTTCCCGGGTGATCCAATTGGGCGTAACATATGTATACGAGGAAAGGAGGGCTAATAAGTCGGGTATGAAGTAATAGATCTAGACGTGAACATGTTATGTCTACTGCAGGTGCAGTACGCCCGACCTCCGCATGGCGTCGTTACGCAGAAGGCATTGCTACAAAGCTGCTGAGCTGTATGCTGTTGTGTGACATCTTCAAGAAAAGTATTACTTGCAGTTTATTATATCATTAGTCATAGCCCAACCTTCAAAATTTTATGACGGATCGTATTCATCAATTTGTTGAATCAACAGTTCAAGTCATTTTAGAGGAAATGAGCCCACGTTGATGTGACTATATGTATAACATGAATCTTCGTTCATTTCCAAAAAAAAAAGAAGTTTTCGACCATACTGTAAATAGTCGAAATTAGCTCACATGTATGACAGAATGTTCTAGTGTGTGACGTAACGTTTAGCTAGCTAGGTTCGACATTGTTTAACCCTGCACTGCGCAATTGGAACCAGATCTCCGAATAACAACTACGTCGTGATTACATGGTTACCTATACAGTCTAAAGGTCACTTCGTAAAAGCTGCTGATGCAAAAATAATCCAAGGCCGAAGTACACAATACTGTGTTGTGCACTGAATTATTAAAGCATCTGTTCTTCTGATCGAGATGAATTATATCTGACAATACATACACTTGCTAATATTTCTGTAATGTGTCTGAAATCCATTCTCCGGAAATGTATAGTAGTAACTTGTTATATGTTTTTGCTTCGGCATGTCTGTATCATCATTTTGGTGGAAGGTTTCTTCGCTAGTGATGATGCAATGCACAACAGTGGACTGTTCTACTACTGCTCTCACGGAGGGGGGTCATGATGTGGGATTTCTAAAATCGAATGACTATTCCATGCTTTTAAAAGACCATTATAGGCCTAATTTGCATATAGTATTTTCAATATTATAATCATTAGTGTATGATATCGATATGAATTCATTTTGTTCCTACGTACTCCAGTATTTGGTCTCTATCATACTCAAGACACCCCTGCTTGGAGTAGTTAGGGCTTCCGCCCCAGGCCGGTAGGAGTCTAGTCAGTAAGAGCAGAGGGCAAGTACACATACTTCATACAGTGGACTCTACTCTCTAGCCACACAGGGCGTCGAACGCGAGTAAGACGTTATTTTTGTCAGCCCAGCTGATGACACAAAGGGGACAGGAACGGAACCGTCGCAGCAGGACATTTAGTCGCACTCGTGTCGCCATTCAGTCAACCTGACCTTGCCAATTCCAAGCAATTGACAAGCAAGCAACGGAAGTGAACCACTACAGTACCACCACCGAACTGTAAACGGAAAAGCCCACGGAAGAACGTTCAGTCAAGATGAGCAACGGCTGGGGTGAAAGTGCCGAGTGTAAGTATTGGATTTACTCAACATTTAACATGTACTGACATTATACTGACAGTACTAACACCTGCACTAGTCTAGTTTGCAGGCAAATTGGACGCGCCGGCTACCTTCCCTGGTCAACTGCATTCCTATACAATAGGCCGATTTCTACTACCTATTCAGTCTGCAGAGGAGTCTGGTGGAGACTAAACTTGCACCCTTTCCCTCCCTCCCTACCGGTCACACGCGTTTTGTGGTGGGAATTCTTTTTTTTTTTCAGCGAGGCTGTGGCGTGACACAACTGACCATTGATAGAAATCTACGACAACCGTCTCACGATGCGGCTGAATGTTGCACGACACCTACACGAATATCTTAAGAATGTCTTCGCTGTGTTGTCATAAACCTTTCGTACTACAAATGTGACCGCGACCTTTAAATTTACACCAGTAATGACCAGAGCAAGCCCTGTCTTTGTTTGCTTTTCCTTCGCCGCTTATATAATTATTTAATCGTTTATCAATGGCTTATCAACATTAAGGTTGCTTATTTTAGTATTTATTTGTTGAGCTAGTTTACATTCAGCCAAAGGGTCAAGACAGTTCCAATCCTTGATGTTGTGTCTAAACTCTAGTAGCTAGATGTAGTAGTTAGTATTTAAATGGCTGTGACAGAAGGCTTATTGGTGTTTAGGCTTCGGTTTATTTTCGACGTTTTCAGCCGCATCTGATCGAATTCTGGTAGAGGCTATGCTTAGTAGGAGTCAGTAAACGACCCATAAGGCCCCCTAAGTCTCAAAGGTTACTTGAAAACATATATACTGTATATGCCCTACAGTTACACTGTTGTTTACACCGTAGTATTGTGACGTCAGCTGTGACCTTGAGATAGCGTGTGCCCAATTTATTCCCTAGTGGTTCATCTGCTGACCTTCGTGACTGAGGATAATGATAAACATCTTCAGAAAGAAGGCCTGTGCTATGCTCAGTAGTGACCAAGCTTCAGAGGCGGCTGAAAAGAGAAAAATTGGCCAAACAGCCGGATAACATACCAGGGGAGTTAGTGCGCTAAAAGAGTACAGTTTACCGCTCTTAATTTCCAGCCGCCTCTGAAGAGAAGCCTGGTAGAGGCTATATGCTCAGTAGGAGCCGGTAAAACACCCATAAGCCTTTAAAGACATATATGTGTGTATATCTACATGTATATGTCCTACAGCTACACTGTTGTTTACACCATTTAGCAGTATTGACAGCTGTGACCTTGAGATAGCGTGTGCCCAACTTATTCCCTTGTGGTTCATCCGTTGACCTTTGCTGAGGACAAGGATAAACATCTTCATTGGTTCAAATCGTTTCCACGTGCTAGGGGGATGAGTTTCCCAAAGCACACAGCGAAAATTCTGCTTGGAGATTGTTGATGTTAACTTGTTGTCCTTTGTTACCTTCGTAGAAGGTTATGTTTTCCGTATAGCGTTTGCATGTATAGTATGTGGTTTAGCACGATAACTCAAGAAGGATTCTCATGAAACTTGGTAGGTGGGTAGGTCTTGATGTGACCTAGAAATGGTTAGATTTTGGACCCCTGGCGGCTTGTTTTACGTCTATTTTACGCTAGTCGTTTTTTTTTCTCATCAAGGATCATCAAGCGGCCTTTTGACCTCTCACATTGAGATTACGCAATGTCGGGTTGGGAGGTAAACGTGTTCCACCACAGTGCCCCGTATCTAAGAAACGTTTTTCAAACTAGACTATCGGGGCGCCGTTTGTCTTGAGTTAATGACCTTAACCTGGCAGATCGGTAACTAGGTCATTAACCGCCGCGCTAACTAATCAGGTATGATCGAATCACATCCGTGTTGGATATTAACCGGCACAGGACACGTGCCGACTGGATCATTCCATTCAGGCTGAGGGGGGTAAAATTAACAACAGCCCCCTTTGCTACAGTCCCCGTTCTATATAACTAGTACTTAAAATGTAGAAACACAGTTCGCTACTACTAGTCGAGTATTGTGACATAGAGTCTGCAAAATGTTATTGTATATTAAGAATTTTGAGCATGTGACGTTGTGTAACGTTCCACCACCATCGTTGTACAGAGTATAACATTCAGGTGCTGGTACTTTTCCATCATGCCATACCGGCTCTTTAACGTCCCACGTGACTTTCACAGCTGACCTGTAAGGGGTGTGTAAGCGTGTCTTACAGTGCCTCAAGCTACTGTATTCAGGACTTGGTATCTGGATCGGCAGTCACTGTCATTCTCACTCTCCCAAAAAATCTCTCATTCCTCTCCTAATAGATAAAATTTGCTCCTACCCGTTTTAAGGTCACGTAACGGTACCCACTTGCTAGCTGTCATTTCCCCTGTGGTAGATTTGATTTGGCAGGTTTGGTATAAAGCAAGCAAAGATGTCTGGGGAATCTCACAGCGTGCCCGCAAAGAACGGATACAGTAACGGAGACTGTAACGACAATATTTCACGTAAGTTTCACTCAGTCTCTTCATGCATATGATCTTCCATGCCTTAAATTTTTCTTTGGGACTTTTCCATGGCATGGCACGTGGTTTGTGAATATATTACGGTACCTAAGTAAATAAGTAAGTTGGAAAAGGCCCGTAAAATCTTCGCCCGGCGAAAGCTAAGCCATGCAACAGTACGATATCTACGATCCAAGCAGATATTTTGGTGGCTGCAAAGACAGTATCAAATTGAATACTGTCTGGCAAATAGACACTGCTTGGCCAATTTGATTTTGTCTTTGCAGCCACCGAAAGATCTGCTTGGAGATTATATTTTAGTGTCTGCATATGTCTCGGGCAACGCATACAGTAAACTGACTTGTTGCTGCAGCTGCGAAAGATTTTGGGAACGATCGCGATCGCAAGAGTACTGGGTTGGCGATGATCTGTAAAGTCGCCGGCATTTTTTCTGTAAACTTTGACTAGTCTACGAACACAGACATAACCGGACGTGGTTAAAGGTAAATCGTGGATAAGAAATAACGGGCTACGCAAAATCAAATATCTAGCCTGGGTGCCAGCCTCCGTAGTTACCGCTACGTAGCGACAATAGTTAGCCGGCGGTAACTCAGGAGGATGGCACCCAGGCTAACGCATATCCGTCACTTTGTAAAAACAGTGTGCTTGAGAGATACATAGTGTGAATTCTTTCAGGTGTGCACAGATCAGATACGCAAAAGTGCATTTTTCTGGCTGACATTGCATTGGAGATCTGTTAAGATCATTTTTCGGGATGACGGATATATTATGTCACTAGATGTTAGAATTAAAAGTCGTGACTTGGACTTTAAACATAGATAAGTCCATACTTGATTGGTAGATTTCTTAAGGACTTCTTTCCACCCTTGCGTTCTATAGCCTCTACTTTTGAGAGGCTTTATCAGTGATCACTGATGTTGAAAGCCACATTGCCCCTGCGGCTGACACATGGAAGTTATGGGACTGGTGAGGTGAGGTGAATGACATTTGACTCCCAGCTTTACAATGGACCTGTTGCACTAAAACGAACCGCACGTTGTTGAATATGATAATCAGATGCTGGTACTTTTCCATCGTACGAGAGACACGTGACTTCTACTGCAGATGACCTCATTTTTAGAGGCGTGTACTCTAGACCTTTTCAAGTTTAATCACCCGGTGTCTACTCAAATTTCCCGTTTTCGGCCCAACAGAGGCTCTTGGTATGTGCCATTCTTATTTTTTCTCGTACGACAAAAAAAGGAGAAGTTCTCTATCCGTCTGTAGGGTTGCAATTTTATTTTCAGACCTGTGTGTACGTAAACTACATTCTAATTTCTAGATCCGGATTCGGACTGTCCACGAATCCACATGGTGCTCTTAAAAGAGAAAAAATTCTGTCCGTCTTTAGGTTTGTACCAAACGCTTCGTTAGGCCGGCCATATTGATATGATTATATGGATGGCATCCTCTGGGAACCCCAAAACTGATGCGAGCGTGCGAATAAAAAAAAGTTTGCCGAAAAAAAAGTTGCCTTCATAATGAAATCTACGTGGTCATGCAGTGGTTTGATTAAAGGTTTGAATTACAAACTAGCCTGGTATGTTGACTTAATGGCTCCTATCATACCATTTGGGGCTATCACAGGATGCATTGGTCTGTTTTTGTTACGCCCTGTTGCTTCATATTTTTTTCTGAAAACATCCTAGAACCAATAAATGAAATTGTTGTGGCCTAAGAATGGGTTTACGACTTTGGCGGTTGCCAGACTGTGGCAGACAGAAGTATGCGTTCGTGGGACACTTGCCAAGTGCACTGATATCGCAGGTTGGACTGCGTGTCACAGCGCGTGATTTTCACTAGTATGTTCCTTTGATCTAAGATTTTGATCTAAGAGATATAACGTTAATTGAACATAAAAATCACAGACTACGTACAAGGACGTAATCTTTCACTGCTGAAAGCTATTACGGTTTCATAAGAAATCTACATAAGAAACATAAGAAAATTGTTTACTGTGATTGTAATTTTGTCACTCTTACAGACATAATGATTTACAACAGCTTAGATTTAGGATAGGAAAAGCGCGTAACAAAGTACTTAACATATAGCTACTACCTGATACGGGGAAAATAAGTGTACAAAAAATACAAAAAAATTTAACATGAAAATGCCTCCAGAACAATTAATTCAGCGGCCGTGAAACAACTCCCGACCAAAATTGTAGTCATATCACGGCTTAAATAAATATCGTTCCTCAAATATGCAACAGTTAATTTGTAAGTATTTGTAGGGCGTTTTTCTTTGCGAATGCTGACTGACTTTCTATCACATCCCATGTCTTGTGTATAGCAGTGTGCAGATGATATGTGTTCTCTCGCCTGCCGTCCTGGGGGCGGGGGTGGGCAGGGCGTCGCCTGCTGGTGGTTTGAGGTAATTGTGTGGTTATGAAGGTAACAAAAGTAACGTTAAGCTCTCCTACTGCAAGATTTTACTTAGTTCCTTTTGGAACTAATCACTGTGAGAGATAACGATAGTCTGTATAATATCATTAATGTGTATCTGTGTGTTGCAAGAAACACGTATGATCTGGGGAGGTTTTATTATGGAACCTTGCGACGATTTTATGACAACATTGATTTCGGCCAGTTAGTCGGTCACAAAATCGTTGGGCAAACCCAGAGTATTTATTTATTTATTGCTCATCATTTTACAAATGTACAACAGCAGGGGGAGCAGAAGCGCATCCCCCTGGATTAGGTACAATTTGTCACATTATTGAAAAAAACAACGTTCACATTGAAAAATAATACATCTAAACTAACATATATACAAAAGACACATATAAAATTATTTACAACAGATATGCATAAAGTTGCTTGGTCAGGCTATACAAGTTCCAATGTATGTTCTGTGCCTTTGTTTTCAGCTGCCGAAAAGTTGTTACAGACACGAATGCACACATCAGACACATACCATCAGTTTTTCTTTTTACTAGAGTGTCTTCAAAAGTCTTTGTTTAAAGAAATGGTCCCTCTAGAAACAAACTAAAATTCGGCCCATGATCCACGATGCACGACAGTAAAGTTAGCTCACACAAGTTTGTCATGGAGGAAACACACGCGTTCTCTACGTTTATCTATTTTATCGTCCTGAGTTCCTGATATATGTAATTTGCAAAGGATCAAACTAGAAAAATGTCCAAAACACCTGTAACAAACCGTGGCAGAATGTAGACTTGCACGACAAAACATTCAGAACGTTAAGAAATAGTTTTATGTATGAAATTCGTTCGGCGATGTGTCACGTGTGTATTGACTAGTTTTTTTTTTTTTATTCTTGTGACATCTACAGTACTGATGTAGACTTTTATAACAATGACAATGACAATATAACACATTAACGTTACTGTGGTGTATTTCTGCCCGGTTTCAACAGATGAGGCGACGCGCAATGACATGGCTCAGTTTTGGCGGGAACACTCCACCAAGGCGTCCCTGGAAGAGATGATGTTGGACGACAACGCCAAGGAGCTGTCCAAAGTTGAACTGCCTGAAATCCTGTCCCTCTTGCCCGGGATCGAAGGCAAAACCATCCTGGAGCTTGGCGCAGGCATAGGGTAGGTTTTTTGACATGGACACCCGCACATTACGCTAATGCACGTGTACCGTTTTCTTTGCAAAAACATTCAACTCGAACTCGGGGTTGATCGGGAGGTTCTACCATATTTGGCTGGTATTCAGCAGTTTTCGGGGTGTGTCCCTTCAAATTTGTGTGAGTAAAATTTCAGGTGACTGTAATTGCATTTACACAACATTCGGGTTTAAGGATCCAACATGGCGGCCAATAATCACGTGACACATTATAAAACCAGTGAACGAGCGATCCCCGTGGAATGATAGCCAGCAAGTGGTTGGCAAAAAGCGGATGGTAGTTGGGCAATAATTTGCCTATAAATAATCTGTATATGCCTACCAATAATTTGCACATGCGTAACAGTAATTGATTGGCAAAAACAGCGAGCGCTCGTGACCTCATGGTCATCTTTTTCCCCTCCAGGCGTTACACGGCTCCCCTTGCGCAGAAGGCCAAGCATGTGACGGCCGTGGACTTCATGGAATCGTTCATCCGTAAGAACGAGGAAGTCAACGGACACCACCAGAACGTCCGCTTCATGCAAGCCGACGTCACCAAGCTCGACATGCCACCAAAGAGGTGGGTAGGATCTACCCAAGTGTCTCTAGGATGAAATAGATGAACAAACTTGCAGCATGCAAAAGATGATAAGATAAAGTATTCTCCTTATTTTGGCCAATTTTAGAAATTTTGTTCAGTCCTCCAAGAGGTCGGCTGGCAGATAATCGTTTCTTCCCCTTCCCAGCTTTGACATGGTGTTCTCCAACTGGCTCATGATGTACCTGAGCGATGAAGAAGTGCAGGGTCTGGCCGAGAAGGTGCTCACCTGGCTGAAGGACGACGGCATCTTCTTCTTCCGAGAGTCCTGCTTCCACCAATCAGGTATCTCTTCACCTCCATTGCATGTCTGCACTCATGTGAAAGATTAAACCCGGACGTTGCAATTGCCAAAGTGAATTTGTTTTTAAAAGCTAAAAAAAAAAGTTGTTCTCACCTAGAGCTTTCAGTCAGTCACTCTGGTCTTCTTCAATAAACTGACCCAGTGAGACTTGTCACGTGGCCTGTCTTAAGTGTGACGTCAGCACTGGGTCGAAGGTATATGGTAAACGATGTCAGCCCCCGTCGCGGTTGAGTCAATCTCGGTTGAGTCGTCTATCTATATACATGGCTTGATGTCGCTGTTTTATCACATTAAAAGAAACTAAACATGCAATACACGAAGACACAATACTACGTTCAGTCGGCAGAAACATTTTGAGTTTGAGTCGTGCCGTGTGTATAGGAAATCATCGGCGATCCTTCAACCCGACGAACTACCGCAGGCCATCCGACTACGACTCCCTCATCCAGTCTGCAGGCATCCCCATCTCAGGCGAGAACGGCGGGGCCATGCACTTCGGCTTCGAGATCGAGCTGGCCAAATCCGTGGAGACGTACATCAAGGTAATTAGTATACGTGACCGGGGCTTAGTCGATGCACAGAAGCTAGTCTGAAGTGAAGCGATCCGGCGGTTATACATGCTTTTGGGAGCGGGCAGTTGCTTCAAAACGATGGTGGTTGTAGACTATCCTGTCGTGCTTTAGGCCACAGCACGTAAATTTTATGGATAACATCCTCCGTATACTCCAAACCTAATGCGATAGGGCGAAAAAAAACAAGGCGGGCAAAAAAGATCCCTACATTTTTAAATGTTGACATCATAAACCTTCACGGTAAACAAAAAAGAAATGACACCAGTTTTGTGCTATATTAACTGCCAACTATTACAACATCCATTGTCACTGAAAAATAAAAGTTATCAATCATTGTGCAAATGTTCAGTTGGATACTGCATACTTTGGGGCAATGTATTACTGCATCAAAGTAAATCAGAGCCTTGTCTTGTTATCTTCCTCTCTTCATATTTATTTGCCATCCATGTTCCCGCATGGCAACAGACATCTTTGTCCATTTTCGGCATGTTCATCACTGTCGGAGGGCAACAATTTTTTTTTTTCCCAGAATCAGGCGAAAATCAATGCGCGCGCTGATGTCATCCATAAAAATTGGCCAAATGTGAAAACCCCCAAACGCGGATCACTAAAAAACATGTATAGAAAGCGTAAAATAAAAACTTCCCGGGACGTCCATATCGCCACATCTACTTGGAGACTAGTCTGCCTGTCTACTAAGGACATTATGTAAAACGACCTTGCAAGTAACGTCATGGAATTTTCCTTAGATAACGCCGGTAACCTACCCGACCGGTCACCACGTGATCATCTCTGTTGTCATCCGATCAGCTGGAACTGGACTTTGTGGGTTTGTTCAGGGTCCGCACTAGTCAGGTTACCTGCTCGGCGGTAAATATTAACTAGTAACGTAACAGCTCACACGTACACGTTTGTGACGTGGTGGTGTATTTGTGCGGGGATCTATACTTGGAAGGCCACACTATTAGTAAAGGTAGGTCAGGTCAAACTGACGGGATGTAAGAAGGGTATGTTTCTTCTACAGTGTTTCTACGATTGGTACTAGTATAAGCCCACTCCAGGGTTTACGAAGTAGTAGTATTATCTTCAAGCAGATTTTGTGGTGGGTAAGATGTAGAAGTATTTGCACGTTGGCATACGTGTCATATATTGTTCTCGCGCCAAAAATACATAAATGCTACAGGCCAAACCTGTCTGGATGTGGTGGGGAGGGGGGCAAGTATAAATTAAAATATGCCAAATCACGTAAAAACGTCCATCTTCTGGCCTTGAGTTGATAACGATACTAGTAGTCCCGCGTAGGAGTTTGAGGGGCGATTCATTATGCGCAGAATCTATACAAGCCAGAGTAAAGGCCGCAAATATTTGACCAGTACCAGTTGAGTTTTGTCATACTCGAGCGATGCGGTGATAAAATTGGCCTACTTACAGTTGACCTTTGACCCAGTGGCGGGAACGCGCTGTAGGACGTTTAGACGGTGACGTCACAGTCGCGATTTTTTTCCAACAAAGTCATTTATGCTTGACTGTAATGATTAAATATCCCCCCCTCCCCAAAAAAAAAATACATTAAACCCCTAATTAGTAGTTTTCAATTTTTTTTGCCATCAGGCCATGTTGATTTGATTAAATGGATGACATCCTCTGGGAACCCCAGAACTGATGCGAGCGTGTGAATAAAATTTGGCAAAAAAAAAGGTGCCTTCATTATGAAATCTGGTCATGGAAGTTGAACAAATGACAAAAGACACCCAGGCTAACATAGCTTATATTTCACATAAATCCCAAGGCAAAGAAAAACGTGAACCAGTTCTGTTGGGTCATCAAGAAGCGTCGACTGCAGGGCATGGCTCACAACGGCTACAAGACCTTCCAGCAGTTCCTGGATGCCCAGCAGTACACGAGGAACGGGATCTTACGCTACGAGAAGATCTTCGGGTACGGATACGTCAGTACCGGCGGACCAGAAACTACAGAGGTTAGTTACGTTTATACATAGTGATGTTTACCTTCGCAGAGGGAACACATTGCATTTTTTTGTTGCTCTGTTTCTTCTTCATTTACCCCAACGGAAGACTAGACACTCAAGGACACTGACAGGAAGTTGAGTTGTTATTTCCTGTTTTCACTTTCCTGCTGTATTCATGTCTTTTGCCTTTTGAAGGCCTGGAGAGCCAGTGGGAAAAATACACAACAAGAAATTCACAAAATTCATAAAATCTTTTTTTTTCTGTACATAGGACTCAAAGAGTCACACTAAACACTAACCATCTATTTTTTTTTTTTTTTTCAGGAGTTTGTAGCCAGGTTGGACCTACTACCAGACCAACATGTTTTGGATGTAGGCTGTGGGATTGGAGGAGGTGATTTCTACATGGCAAAGGTGTGTAGACAAAACCTTAGACATGTCAGAGAGCAGTGGACCATATCTTTCTAAACACACCTGTAGTGAGTACAAAAAAGGATCATTTTACTGAGCATTCTTTGTTAAAGCCAAACCTACGAAATGGTTTAAAGAGCTTTAAAAAGCAATTTCACCTGGCATTAAACCTGGATTTTCACATATTTTTCCCCAGAAATTTGGAGCAGTTGTAACTGCCATGGACCTGTCCACCAACATGATAGAGATTGCCACAGAAAGGGCCAGTAAAGAAAATATCACCAAGGTAAGTCTGAATGTGCTGGAAACTTTGAAAGAACTTCTTTATGGAAAGTCAGAGGCTTCTGAATTCTGTAACTTCTCTGATCATTTTAGCTGAAAGTATTTCATCATTGAACTTTCCAGAACTGACCAAGCAGTCATACACATTTGTTTGTAACTCCTCCATTTATTGAAAGTGCATGTTGTATAAGTGTCTACCCAGAAATTGCTAGCTTGGTTTAACAATTCCCAATTGGCTTAATCTGAGCAAAGGCACATTTTTATGAACAATTTCTTTATTCATTGAAGTTTACAACAATTGAGTTTATATTCTTTTTCTCCTTCGCCATTTTCAAAGGTTCGGTTTGAGATCAGTGACTGTACGAAGCGAGAATACCCAGCTGAGTCGTTTGACGTCGTCTACAGTAGAGACACCATTTTACATGTCAAGGACAAGCTGCCACTCTTCAAGAACTTCTTGGTGAGAAAACTTTAGCTGGCCCATCTCAGTTAATTTTGGGTCTCAATTCGATTCCACACGCCTTCAAGTCTAGCGACCGTCTCTTTCAGGAAATAATTCCAAAGCAAAAACACAAGAACAGAATGTCAATTTCTTTTTAATAGATTAATAAATAGATAAAAACTTATCAAATAATCTTCTGAAATTTTAGTAAATTTTAGGCAGTCAAAGATACTGTGCCATGAAGTTGAAGGAATATAGTTTGATCCATCACGCTAGATAAGTGAGCATGAAAAGTGAACGTAAAAGTACCATGAAGAAGTCAGGAATTACAGTTGTTTTAAAAAATTTCTCTGAAAATGATTTTCTATCTTAGACATGGCTGAAACCAGGAGGCAAGCTACTCATCTCCGACTACTGTTGTGGAGACAAGGAGTGGTCCGATGTGTTCAAGAAGTATGTAGCACAGAGGGGGTACACTCTGTACAGTCCAGCCAAGTATGGCAAGGTGGGTGTTTTATTTTTCTTAGAGAATTAGGCCACACCAATTGATCAGTTGTCAGATTTGCCTTTGTCATTTTTTTTCTGATTTGCAAAAAATTTCAGGTTCTGAAACAATTCTTAAATGCTCATATCTTAATCTTGATGGCGGAAAAGGTCCTTCTTGTCCTAGTTCAGTTTTTCCATATATCAATGCAAATTTTGAGATTAAGAGTTCAAAATTCATTGTTCTTTTAAAATGAAAATACCTGTTTTCTTTCAGCTTTTAGAAGAGGCTGGTTTCATAAATGTCCAGGCAGAGGATCGCACACAACAGTTCATGGACATCCTAAACAGGGAGGTGGCCAGAACAGAGGCCAACAAGGAGGAGTTCATCAAGGTAAATACATGTCCTCTCCCTAGCAGAAAGGGTTGGTACTACAGCTGTGTACCTGAACAAACTTTAGTTACAGGTACAGGTACATGTAACTGAACAATTCAACAAATTTACTTGTTCTTTGGAACTTCTTCAATAATACAAATGTACTAGAATCATTAATAAACTTTCAGATCTTTCTGGGTAGTTAACACTGTCAATCTGTAACACTAACACACTGCCCTATCTCTGGAACCCATGGGGGACCAGCTAGTTACTGATTTTATTTTTAGGCCACAAATAAGCATGTAATTAGTGTAACTTGATACCAGTACAGTACTGTGCCTAATCAAGTACTGGTATGCCACTTTAGTTGGTTAGCTGGCTGCAATGTGGTTTAAGTATGTATTATTTTATTTTCTATCAATAAACCAATTTACATTACATTTCCCCCCCCCCTGCCTTTCTGCAGGAGTTTTCTGAGGAGGACTTCAGGTACATTGTAGATGGCTGGAAAGAGAAGCTCCACCGCTGTGAGCTGGGAGATCAGAAATGGGGGCTCTTCTACGCAGAAAAGGCCAAGTAAAGACCCTGGCTTCCATGAGAACATGAAAAAAGTCCTGAGTCTATAAGAATTTGTTTGGATCTACACACAGTTTAGTTGAATTTTGTTATGTACTATTGTTTGTTAATCACAAATATAAGGCCAGTTTATACATGGTAAGATCTGTTTAGTGTAGACAAGGATTTTTCTCTGAGAGACCCAGATTGGTTAGAATAAATGTTACGGTAAGAGATAAAGGATTAGATGGAAATAATTATGATTTCAGTTATTGAGTATTTTTGCAGATTTATGACAGTGACACGTAAAAAAGATGCACATAAATCAGGAATATGGTATGTGTATTTCAGTGCAGTATTTGTATCCCACATTCATTCTAATATTGTCTGAATATTGCAGAACTGTAGAATGTTTGGATTGTTGGTCAAATATGAGCCGTTTATTGTATGAAAGAAATGATAGGTGCCTTATGGATCAAGATATTTCAGTACTAGTATTGTTAGATTAAAAAGTGTGGTAAAAAGAAGCCATCTCGAACAAATAATGTTGTCCTGCACTTCTTGATCGGGATGTTAGAGGGCGCTGTGGAACAGTGCATATTACAGCAAGGACACAGCAGTGTAATAGCCAGTATGCAAGTTTCATACGTGTGTAATCACCAAATGGTGTAAAATATGTTAACCTGCCCGTGGCTAGAGTAATGGCAAAAATGTGAATTACTAGTAGTTTGAAACTATGATTGAATCAGAAAAAGAAATAGTCATGTTGTGAATATATATCAAAGGTAAAACATGTGGTTAGGTTTTCAGAACCTGTGCTATGGATCCTTTCTTGGAGAAATTATACGACTCCTTAAAAGATATGTTACATGAGGTTATATATACATATATATGTGGTCATCATCATAATGCTTTGTTAAACTTTGCTTGAAGCACAAAAATGTGAGTCAGATACAATCCCATTTATGTATCGTTTTCCAAAAGAAGAATACACTAACTACGTCGGTGCATCGAATTAAACACACACTGTATCATTCCATATACCTGTTTTATTCCATTTGTAGTCAGGTGTAGTCCCAATTTTGTTCTGGTAAATTTGAGTGTTATTTTCAGTTCCTCTGATGATACGCACAAACACACATGTGAAGGGTGTCGTGCTTTTGATAATGACAATACAAAACCTGAAAAGTTATATACTGGCTACTGTTTCTTCTTGTTAGACATATACACGTGATCATGTACAGTACATGGAAAGTATTTGCCTGCGGTTTGTTAAATCATCGCAAGGAGACATTGCTCCCAACATTCCTCTGTCGTCAGCAAGGCCACATCACGTACATTTTATGGATGACATCCGCCGCAGACTCCAAATCTAATGCGCGATAAGACGAAAAAAGATTCCTCTACCAGGCTCCGAGAAGCGGCGGGAAAGAGTAGAAATTGGCCAAATAGACAGAAAAAACTTGCCAGGGGAGTTGGTACGCAAAATTATTTGTGTCTATTTGGCCAATTTCTATAGCCTGGGTGCCATCCGAATTCGTAACGGCTACCCCGTACTGGATACAAAACAAGAGAACGTACCGGCACAAGGAAATGCAACCTTCGCTTTCGGGGTAGCCGTTACAAATTCGGATGGCACCCAGGCTACAATTTCTACTCTTTCCATCCACTTTCCGGAGCCTAGTAGAGTATTTGCCAGCTCTAGGAGTCACCGCCGACCGTACTCTCCAAGCAGATGTTTGGGTTTTGCCTATTGGTTTATTTTGGGCGTGTTTTTAGACTTTTTTATCGGGGTTTCTTTGTTGCACTGGAATTATTTTCGAGTACAAAGAAGGAACCCCGATAAAAAAAAGCCCGCGCCTAAGAACACGCCAAAAATAACCCAAAACCTCTGCTTGGAGAGTACGCCGCCCGTGACTATGCCGCCTGTCGTGTGCGTTACAAGTCGCTAGCTGTGCGCGTGCGTGACAGGCACGTGGCCGGCACGTGTAACACGTCATCACCACACTGACTCGGTCACGGTCACGGGTACAGGCACACGGGGTCTTCTCACAGGCACGTGACACTTCTTACTGTGGACAGATCATTCACTGTGGGGCAGCGACGAGCAGAGGAACTTTGGTCCGCCTGCGTTTGGCGAAAATAAGGTTAGACATAGAGAAAGAAATTTGATACAGAAAATACTCGCACGCACAAAAGTACAATGAGAAACTCACAAAAGTAAATATGGCTTTCTTTGACACACAAGTTTAAAACTCCATTATGTAACATTTTGGAAGATAGGAAGATACAAAAAGTAAAAGTTCTGGTCATTTCTCTACAAAGTAAGTTGAATCAACCCTACTCCATTGCAAAAATAAGTGCCATTCAGGACTTAAGTGGAGGCGCCAAAATATGACGCCTTACGAGCATGTTTAAAAGTTGGAAACACAGCTGTCAGCCATGTTTGTTTGCATTTTGATATTTAGTGGTGGCACCACAAACTGAATGCGCCTCGTGAATATGTGAGATAATTGCACAAATATGTTGTAAAGTGATAATAAATTACTATCACACGAAAATAGTTTTTTTATTAAATATTTTAACTTTCGGTGCAAAAAGCCCCTGAGCATAACGTTATAATGTACTTTTTTTTGTATATCAGTACTGATTTAGCCTGGTTTCTTGTACGCCGCCTTCGCCTACGCGTGGCAGCCCGATCAGTCTGCTGCGGGAGGCTACATTTGTAATGAGCTATGAGATAAACCACAAAACCGACGACTCTGCTGAACAAGCCGCGTTTCTAAACAACTCCGACAGCAGGCGATCCGGACAAATCCGGCCCTAATCCCTCATCACCGGCCGGGTATATGGCCGAGTCTTATCATCCTCCGGCAGAGAAATTTTCATAGAAAGCGGGGATCAGCGTGTGGACAAAGGGGCTCGGACTTTCCAACCATGCGTCCAGTTTACTGACCACGTACGTTTCACAGTACCAGACTGAAGCCCCTGTCACACAGAGCCGAATATGGCCTCCCGAACACTAGCCGAACTCCCCCCAACCATGGTTAGGAGTAGGTCGCGAGCAAGGTTGGCTAGTGTTCAGCCAGGCCGGTCGGCTACTGTTTGGCTTTGTTTAAAAATGTTTGAAACATTGGACGGTTCGGCTACGGTCGGCGGGTGGTTGGCTGATGTTCGGGAGTAGGTCGGGGCGTAGTTGGCAGTCAAATTTGACTCAAATTCGATTCGTATAGAAAGGTAGGCGTGGCCTTAATCTGGTCAGACTGCTCCCGAAGTTCAAGGTTGGCCGGTGGTCGGAGGAAGGTGTTGAATGTGTGACCTGCCTCCTTGTTGTGATATTAAATAAAGGTTCTAGGTTCGAATCCATAACAGGCCCCCAACGTTGTGCCAAGGGGAGAGTCCCTTTTAATTTGCACCTCAACTTTGGTAGCCTTGAAGCCAACTCTTTTTTTAGCAGGGAACAGACCAAGACAGGCTGGGCTACTACTACTAAAAGGCAGGCTACGAAACTTTGGCTTCTGTACCAAAACGTTGCGCCCCACTCCGGACTGTTAATTTGCTATGACAAGGCTTGACCTTCTACTCCTACACTTACAGGCAATGCTAACGGTCCATCCATCAATGGTTTTCACTTGTCATGTCCTTAATAATAACTTACAAGCGTGTAGATATAATTATCGGAAAAATACTATACGGTGGCACGAATATACCAAATTGTTGATTTTCCAATCTGTTACTCGGACACGAATTCAAAGTTGTTGTTTTTATTATCATTTAACTACATACAAAGTACAAGACAGAGTGCTAACACATTGCTAATTTTAGTCCCACCACTGACAAAAAAGAATACAATCAATAACATGATAACGAAACAGAAAATGGGTGCTCCAAAATACAAAGATCTTATTGGTGACCTAATTGCTTGAAAAATTCACCATACTTCACCTCAGTTCAGTTCAGTTCAGAACTAATGCTATGCTTTGTAATGTGTTATTACTTCTATTTCATTAAAGATATCATGATGCTATGGTCCGATATATTGCTATTTTGACTTCAACTTCTTTGTCATTCAAGTATGTTTAATTCCGAGCTGGACAGCACTATTTGTTAATGTCAGGACCCCAATTCAGCCAAAGGGCTGCTAGAAGTGTCATGGCATACTAATGTGACGTGAGTGAATAAATAAACCATTACTACTACTACTGCCTTACCTTATTGAATAAGAAATAGGAATGCAAAGTTCTTTAACTACTCATGCTGTTAACGGCATCGAATGCAATTTCAGTGCGGCAAAAGTCCAATTTCTGGTCCTTCTTTTAAGTTGTAGTAAGTTGAATCAATCCTATACCCTAGCATATTGAGGCAAAAATGCGATGTTGCTGACGGAAAACAATTGCTTTTTTATATTTAAGACTTGTTCTAGCTATTTATGGGAGGTACCCAAAAAGTAAAGGGACTCCGCACCTGTTATGGGGCTATTCGAAATGCTTCAAGTATGAAATGATGACGAAAATGTGAAATGGAAGTTAATGTCAATATCAGAGACTTTTGCTGGCTCATCCAGAATATTTAGGGTTTTGCCACCCAGAAATGCATTGAATGCAACATGACCAACGCCTTTATACTAGACCATCAGTCTAACTTGGCTTGGTCGCGACAGTTCGGTTTCTCTGTCAGAAAAGTCAACACTTCGTCACTTGATGGTAACTGGCAGCCAATTTTTCCTCAGCACCAGGGTATAAAATGTATAAGTCTGGTGACAGAGCGTGTGCGAGTGTGTGTGTGTGGTAATTTATCAGACGACATCTGAACCGTCCTGTACAATTAATCCCGTGTAAGCACCGCCACTGCCCTCGGTTCAAATCTTGTTTATTTGTTTATTTGAATGATCTCCATTAGTGAGTATACACTTATACCCACTATTCTTCCTGGAGTCTTAAAACACGTTACAGACTTATAACACAGACGTACACTTCTTACTGCTATACATAAAATACAACAACCTGTAACTAATTACTTATTTAACCTATCCTATTCTATATACACCAAGTAATGAGCTCGAGGTAAAAAGCTTGTTTGAGAGGTCAGAGGTCAATCATACAAGTTATATATTTACATTTACATTAATACATACAAGTTATATATTTACATTTTAAAAGTTACTATGCTACCACCAATGCTGCAGGGGTCTGTTTGTGTATGTTTGTGTTCTTAACCTGTCCTTGACGTGTTTTTTGAAAGCTGATGGTGCGGATGATTTGATGTGTTGGGGGAAAGTGTTGTAGGATTTTGTGCACCTGTACAGAAATGTCCTAGTAGCAGAGGAAGTTCTGGGTTTTGGTAGTCTAAAGCCCCCCGCCTGTGAAAGTCGTGTGTTGTGTTGATGTGTGTTGTTGATTCTGCGTAGTTTATTGTAGATAGTAACAGGTTTGCCAGTGGTCAGGAGTTTGTGGAACGTGGAGAGTGTGTTTGTGTAAAGTCTTTCGTTAACTCTTGGCCAGTTTAATCTACTGTGCAGTTCGTCGATCCTGCAGTTATACTCTGCATTTAACACAAGCCTAGCTGCCTTATTTTGTAAAATCTGCAACCCGCTCAGGTTAGACTGAGAACTGGACGACAGAAGACAGGAGCAGTAGTCCAGATGACTCAGGACAAGTGTTTGAGTTGCTGTCTTTAGCGTGTCACCCGTGAGAAAGTCACGTGATCTAGCAATTACTGCTAGAGCACTTGCCATTTTGGATTTAACCTTGTCAAGGTGTTGGGCTAAGGTTAACTGCTGGTCTAAAAATAATCCTAGCAGTTTCGCCTGCTCTACCTGTTCAATCGGCTTATTGTGCATTGAAATCAGCGCCTCCATCACGAAACGAAGCCGCGAATAGAAAATAGAATCGAAGCTGCACAAGTTGTAGGGCGCTCAATCTTCCCCAAACATCTCGCACCCAAGCTCGGAGAAAGATTACGAAAGGGCGTCGCGAGCCTGGCGTGTCAAATCCGAGCAGATAACTTCTTGGCCTTCTCATCATGGCCGGGGGTGTTTGTGGATCGAAAGCGTTATCCCTTTCAATTTTAGCGGGGTGTTATCGGAGCGGGCATCGCGGCCGGCTGTAGCCAGGGTGTCTCGGGCTCCCCGCCCGAGGAAAGGG